GTTATTATTTGGGCGCGTAGTAAAGTAAGATTATTTTTTTTTTTAGAATTTAGATTGATTTTAACGTTTGTTTGGCTGTAAAAAATCAAAATAAAATAAACCTTAAAGGGAACAGGCCTAACCTTTCATAAGAATCCATTTGTTTCTTTGTACATTCGTTAGGTTTTATGCCACAAGGTCAAACGGATGATATTACAGACTTTAGGCCATGATGTGTCGTTTTAATATGAAGTCTGCTGTCAAAAGCATGTCGGGTTTGCCTTTTTTCCTGATTGGATGGTTCGTGAGCCAATGACCTTTTCAGCGTTTCTGTGCGCACTTCAAAGGTGGGAGAGGTGACTGAGGCTTTTTTAAATAAACTTTTTTATGTTGTGAAAATAAAATGAAAGGTTAGGCCACTGTGAAAGTACCATTGCTAAAAAAGATTGAGAGACTTAATATAAATAAAATAAAGAGGCACATATTACACTGCTCTTTTAAGTGTGTGCTTATAATATTTTCATTAAAAACAACAAAATAAAAAAAATATAAAAAGAGGCATCCAAACTGATACCTATTTTCCTCGCTAAAACTCCAGATTTTACCCTCTTTTCCGCTCTGTTGCTCTGTTTTCCCCAAAATCCCTCCAAACCGACGGTCTTTCTCATGGACTTCAGCCATGCAGACGTTTTTACCTGCGGAGGCGGCCTTTATCAATTCATGTCTCCTCAGCCAAATTAATTTTCACAATGCGAAACTTCCTAAATCCCTCTCTCGTCTCTCCCAGCAAGAAACAAAGGAGGCATTGCAGGGAAAATCGTAGGTGTACATGTTTTCAAAGAAAACTTTAAAACAAACGCCATATCCTTTAATTGAATTTGAGTGAAACGAATACGTGTGGAGGGGGATACATTTATATGAAGCAGCTGTCACCTAATGTTCTATTAAAATAACAGATATTAGGCAAAGTATAGAGGGCAAAATATTTTAGGCATAATTATTTCATTCGGTCTGATTTAAAATTATTCTTATTTAAGTATTGTGAATTTAATGAATATATGTTTTTTAACTATTGTTATGTTATTCTACATTGTGATTGTGGGGTCTTTGATCAGTAATTTATTTGCAGAACCAAGTTCCTGGACAGGATTGTCTTTAATGCAAAGAGAAGATGAAAAATGTGATTACTTTCTAAAAGCATGATTAATTATTTTTTTTTTTTTGTATTGACATGAGAAAAACATAATAAAATAGATCAGTTTGAATAGAGTTTTTTAACCAGTGCAAGCTCACCTGAATGAGTCATGTAAAGATTGGTGAGGACATATTACTACTCTGGCCAGAACCAACTCCACATTTCTTGAAAGTAAAATGTTAATTTTCTTAAAATTGCCC